ATGAAGATCCAAAGTCAATGACGTCTCGGGAAGACGTCGCTGTCTCTGGAATCTAATAACCTGGATAATAATAAAACAGCAGAAATACTCGAAACAGCAGCGACAGCCAGGACAATATTACGAGAGAAATAGAAGAACGTGTGATTTGCTAAACAACGACCCGTCTTTAAAACCACTCACATGTAAACGAAGCTAGTTAATTAAATAATAATTATCGTTCGCCGGTTTTCAATGGCATTCTTTCCAACACCGTTCCAAGATCGTTGCTCGTACAACGTGAGATCGGATCTGCGAAGAAATCATGTTCGCGCTAACGTCCTTCCGTAGAGGTGTCTTTACTCACCGAGAGGGACTCTGCTCCTCGTAGCCCGTGCTCGGGAAGATCAACGCCCCGACAAAAGTTCTTTGAGCCGGGGACCACCTGCCCGCGAAAGACCCGCCCTGCGTGCATCGACTCTGGTGCATTGCCCTCGTCCTTCGATGTTCGCTTTACTTCACTTGACTTAGCCACTTAGAAACAACGAGGCTGGTAAGACGCGCGATCTAGCAAGTAGCAACGTAAGGAGACAATCGAAATCACGCAGCTCGGCCTTTCGCCGGCCGTGATGCGTAGTCCTTCTACCTCAAAAGTTAATCCTTTCAACTGTGCCAGTCGTCGGACGACCATCTATCCCACGACTTTCTCTACTTACCCTTAATCGCTTCGTTACGACTCCCGATAGATCGAAGCAATGGCTCGCAATAGTCCGACTCCAATCGGAAAACAGACGCAGATTCGACGTGCTGTAAGCGGAGACGATATAACGATCGTTGCATGGACAGGAAGTTCAGAGATTGCTCGATAGGAAGGGAAAACATGCTAAGACGCAGTACTCGTAACGAAATGTAGTAAGTGGAATAATTTTCTGTCTACGTTTCGTCTTCTTAATTATACAAGGAGAATTCATAAAAATTCGAATTTATACGAGTGATCACGGTTTAGTGATAATAGAATCAACCGAAAGTTGAAATTCGACAGGTTTCCAGTATCTACAAATATAATCTTTAAAGAAGCAAAGACCTCGAAACTCTTCTACGAGTTTCATATCAACTCGGAACTATTCCCTCCTTTCTCTTTCAAAAGTAGTCGAATCTTAATAACGACTAATGATTCGGGTGTTCGTATGGCTAAAGAAAATTGATCTATTTTACCGTATCACTTCTACCTGCTGTACAAATAATAGGATTTCGTATTAGAATTTTGATAAACGTAACAGCGGAGATCCTTAATGGTAATCTTCCTAATGTTCTCGGTCTCGATCGTCATCGTCGAGGTAGAATGAGAATTGAGGAATCGAAACGGTGGAAGAAAATCGGCTGAATGGCATCGAATGGTCTGTGGGGCAGATAACCAGTAGCCAGTAGGTAGCGCAGTCGTGCAAGTCGAGTGTTTCGAGGGTTCCGGTGCAACGGCCTTAATCTCTCTAGGGCCGAACTCCCTGCAGCGTGCGTGACTATACTGCGTGCGCGTGTAGGCGTGCTACGTGCGTGCACAGTGCACACGGGCTACACAAGCGTGTACGTGCACGCTACAAAGCGGAGAAGTTTGCGTGCTGGTACACGCGCGTTGCGTGTGCACCAGGCTCGGTCTCGCAGAATGGCCAAACTTTATTTCCAGAATGTTTGATTTGAGAAAGAAATAGCCGTGACCCGTGGCCGGGAAAAGCCTTACGCTCAGCCTGTAAACTACGCCGAATTTAACGGGTTCTTGATCTTCGATGGTTGGAAAAAAAAAATAGTAGCGACCGGCTGATGCTACTTGCACTCACGCTAGTGTATTAATAGAGCGGTCCGCTGCAGCAGAAAACTTTGCGCTACGCCCGCCCGCCCGCTCTGATTCGAAGTTTACATCCAGCCCCGTTAAAAATAGGACACTTGCGTTACGAGAAAACGCAGGTTCGCGTAGTCTTTCGAAAAGTCTTGGTCAGCGGGTAAAAAATTAATTCGAAGATGTTCTTACATCGTGAAAAGAATGGCAATTTTAGGGTAGTTTTACAGCTACGAGGCGCCCTATGTAGGTATAATATTATTGTCGATGTATAGGTAGCAAGTGTGTCAACTCGATTAAATCAATCAAACGCGCATTATGCTGTGTTAAACATGCAGTGTTACGTAATAGATGCACTTAAATTTGAGATATATGCAGTTACAGAATTGTTGCCGGCAAATTCTGTTACAGAAATTTCAACGGTGAAAACATCCACCTTACGGTCCACGTCTATTATCGCGCGATCTTCGTGTATATGTAGGAAGGAAGAAGAATGTGTGACTGGGATCGTTTCAATACGGATATCGAGGCAAAGAGGCAAGTGCAGCATTAAGACAGTGTCGGGAAATCGGATGGAAAATTCTATGAGGACACGCTTGAAGGAAGACGAAGATGACCGTTACTTATTAACTGATCTGCGAATACCCGTACGTACACTTTATGCAGCTATCTGGCGATGGTAACAAGGAGAAGAGAGAGAGAGAGAGAGAGAGAGCGGCGCGAAGAAACGGAGGACCGATCCTCGAGCCGTGAATTTTGGCTCGATCCGGTCACGGTTCGTGAACGTGCTAAAAAATTTTTCCATTCTTCCCGTGGACAATTGTTTCGTTGCATCCTGTCGGTTCGCGTTCTCCCACAAGCTTCGGCAATGAGGTGGTCGTTCGTGGTTGCGGCTGATCCGTATCTACGAATACGTTTACGATCGTCTCCTCGACAACGAAGAAGAGAGGGAGAAAGGGCGAAGGGATCCTCATAGGTGATTTCGTGAACGTATAAATACAGTTGTACAGGATTCAACGGCGGTGCTAGTCGGGAGGGGAAAAATATGTTCGGTCGTTCGAGAGAACAGCCCTATCTTTTTTTCTTTTTTTTTTTTTTTAATTTTTCAAAAAGCCAATCGCTTAAATCGGGAGGTGATTATAGGATCAGCGA